GAAATTATTTTTTGTTTGTGTTCATTGGAGCTTTGTGGACGGGTACTGCCAGGGTGTCCAGCCACTAAGCAGGAGAACGATTAGGGTTCTCGTCCAAATCCTTTAGTTCTAACAAAAACCTAACGGCAAGGCAGCGGTAAGGTGGATTGGAGGCCCATTTACTTGGATCGATTACTTCTCCACTGCGTTTTATCGACTGAAACGCCAAATTCCAGGCGCACCTGGAGGCCCAGGAGACTGGACTTCGTCTGACCTCTACCCATTGACCTTCCAGGCATGATTAGATCTCCTGGCTTCATAAAGCCATTCTGTGTAGCTCGTTGGGTCATAGAGGTGCACAAGCCATCACACCACATCAAGGTGTATTCTCGTCGTGATACATGAAACGGGTTAAATCTGAACCTGGGTAATTTTGACAGGAGTCCCTCATACTTGACGCGATCGAAGGCCTTTGAAATGTCGAGCGAAACTATGTGAATTTCTCCGTGATTACGGAGTGCAGTTAGCCAGGAATGCGATGTGAGCGCCAGCAGGTCATTCGTAGATAGTCGTAAGCGAAATGCATTTTGGCGGTCATTCAGCAAACCTTTGCATTCGAGAAACTTACCCAGCTGGTTGAAGATAATGGTTTGAAATACTTTCGAAATGACAGAAGTAAGAGTGGTAGATCGATATTTTTGGGGGTCCGAATGGTCACCAGTCTTTTGGATAGGAAAAATAATGGCATTTTCCCACGGATTGGGAAAAGATTTGAAGTCCAGTGAAGGACAGAAAAGATGGCTTAGACCAGAAGCTAATTGCACAATGCATACTTTAGGACAAAAGGCGGAATACCGTTCGGATCGGGTGGTTTTTTTATTACCCTGCAGACAGGCGAACCCCATAGTCACCAATACCTGCTGCTCCGTTATGGAAACCGGTAACCTAAGCCCCGGACTTGGAATGGCGAGTAACGTCTTGTTGCACTCCGCTTACGAAGCCATCTCGAATAGCGTCATTTCAATTTTGTTTTGCTTTCAGGACTATATTTACTACTTTTAGCTTACTACCTCAGTCTCTAAATTATTTAATCGCAATTTTGGCTTATTTCTTTTGTGCGTGTGGTGAGTGGACAGCGCAGAATAAGGGATCCCAAGAAACATTTTCCTAGGATTTTAATGTCCTTTTTATAGGAAATGAAATCAGTCACGTAATCCTTCGAAAATGCAAATTTTCGGATTCTTCCACCGGGTCTTTAGCTTAGAATCTGTCTAAAGTACAAAGTCAGCATAGCCATGTTTTAGCGAAATCAACGAGGTTTCGGATCCGCATCGAACCTGTCGGCACGAAAATTGCGTTCTGTTTTGGAACAAGTTGTATGTTGAATAAATTCTAATGCAATGCAATTGCAAAATCATTCGTCTGAGGAAGAGCAAACTCAGGATTCAATCCTTAATCAAAATACAGCTGAAGGAAAGCCGTTGAAAACGATCAAGGGTAAAGTTTAGGAAAAAGAGTGCAAGAAAATAAAGTAGACACAAAGAAGGGTTTGACATGACCACGTACCTTTTGTGTACCACACACACACACACACACACAAGGCACCCTTTCGAGTTAGTGCTCCAAAAGTCATGTTCGACACCCAAACTTTAATCTTCCACTGTCGGTGGGTCCACTTCAGGGAACTCTCTGGTATTCTACGTTGGTCGTGAACTATCGAAGCTTTCAAGCTGAAACCTGATGAGAGGTTGACATGCCCCATATCACATTGAACGATGTCTTCATATCTAAAACGGCATATGGTATTTTTCATTTTAAACCTCACACAATTCAACCGTAAACATATTCTGTGTTAGTAATTACCATAATACATTTTTTACTTCCACTTGGCTAGTATTTTCCGGCATGAGAAAATGTTCGGACCGCGTTTGTTTGTACTTTTCAGATGTAAACTCCCCCGCCCAATATGCCACGTGTGGGAGGCAATCCACAAGTTGTTCCTGGGCACATAGATATTTGAGTTTAGGATAATGCTAAATAAGTCTTCGATATAAGAATTAGAAAGTTGTACCTCGGTTATCAAATCATTGGATGCTTCCCCATTGGCTTTGGGCAATACTCAATGCAATCACCAGAAGGCGCTGGAGACCGTTTAATACGAACACGCATTGCCCGCGATAAATTCCAGCTGAACTTTATTCACCGACCCCCCCCCACACACACACACCCCTTACATGCATAGTCAGCTCCGTGTGGCTGTGCGGAATGTTATTTCCTCTGAACCAGTCCGTTGTGTGAATCTGTGGGGTGTGATTCCCGGGGACCGGACCATCTCAGACGAGGTAGATCAATATGTGATACTGGGAAACCATCACGATGCCTGGTGTCAAGGTGCATGTGATCCGGGCTCGGGTACAGTTCTTCTACAACAAGTGGCAAAAATTCTTGGAGAGGCCTATAAAAAAGGTAACATGAATATATTTTCCATAACTTGTTTAATTGTTTCAAAGTATAACTGCGTGGAATGTCGTCCAACGGCTACTTAGTGTGTCAGTCATATTTGGACCAATTCGTTGTTTGTATTGGTTTTCTTATCGTTTGTAGGAATGTGAGTAAGGGAAGTGCGAGCCTGAGATCATTATAATAATCGCTCGGCGGGAGAAGGACTTCGTTAGGTAGATTTCGCTAAATGAGGGTTAATTCATAGGTCAGTCTTCAACAGATCCTATTATGTTGCTCGTGGATATCTATTACTGTTTGATTTTATCTTTGCAGTGTGAGCAAATATCATCATGCTATAAACCATTTGCCCCTAGGAAACGGAGGTCTTGGTTCATACAGAACCGTTTGATAGAATACTAGTAAAGTATTACCAGATGTGATGTATTTTCACTTACAATTAATTTTTCAACTACATCTCAGTTGTAGAGTGTAAGATGTCTTGAATTCCAAAACAATTGCCCGTTCAGTCCTCTTCCAGCAGTATTTTCTTACCGCTGATCAGAGCGATCAAAGACACGTTACGTTACCCGTAGTGAACTCTCATTCTCAGTACGTTTACAAAGGAGGTTGGCACCCACTACACGGATAGGGTTAAATCTTATCCGCATGTGAATTCAGCAACACTCTGATTTGAGTAGTAATTTAAAATATTGTTCGCGACTACATTGCTCTCGTAAGGTATTGCAGTGTGGACCCACAGTAACTTGATTTTCCCATCTCTTGCCCCCCCCCACCCTCGTTCTACCTTGTTCTCGTCGGTAATAGGATTTAGACCACGTCGAACAGTGGTCCTTGCTAGCTGGGATGGTGAGGAACTGTCTCTACTTGGATCCACTCACTTTGCGGAATCATTTCGAACGGAACTGATGCAACGTGCCGTCGCCTACCTTAACGCAGACTGTCCCATCAAGGGCCACACGCAATTTAATGCGCGTACGGATCCGTTGCTTGCGGATGCCCTAATCTGTGCTAGCCGTCTGGTTTCAGTCGATCCACCAGAGGATATGCGAACTCTTTACGACGAGTGGCTTTCTCAAGACGGATCTGAGTCCACGGAACCAATGTACGCTCCCGCCTCACAGTATCAGTTGAAATTGCATTCTATCTTAAGATGTATACAAGCTATTGATGGTAAATCCCGGATTGCTTCTCCTGTCGGTATATGATACCTCCTGAAAGGAACCTTATGCTATTAATATTGTTGAATATTTACAGTAATTAAAGATAAATCAATAAAATTTTGTGTAGCGCCTCTTTTGAACTTTCATGGAATAGTGAATAGCCCAGAGTTTCACAAGTTTTACATGATTGTATGCTGTATAACTGTTGTGAGATTAAATGCCAATATGTTAGATTCAGTTTTCTGTCTCAGATCATTGAAACGTTAGAATCCATGTGGATTACTTTGTTCGATGTGATCAAATTCAAATTTTTATTATAGGAAAAAAATTACAAAGATTTCGCTTATCAAATCCCATAGGGTGTTTACATTTTGGTTCGGAACACGATTCAGATCACAGTTAGTCCATGAAAATAAAATAGTAATGTAATTTTTCTGACCAACACAGGAGAATATATTGTATAGTTGGGTGTTGAAACATAATGTTTGCCAGAGCATCATCAAGCTGACGCTTGAAAAATATTAATGTTGGCGCACCGACCACGTGAGGTGGTAGAGAGTTCCATTTGCTGCACACTGACTGCAAACGAATGGCGCCTGCAGTCGAGACGGCTCTTTTGGTGTGCCGACTTCAGTGGATGCTCTCGGAGATGAACATTGGTTGATAGAACCCAAAGAGATCTACATGGATGGTTGGGCTGTTGGAAAATCCGATACAGTAAGGTCATATTGCCTCTGATTTCACCATATTGAGACGAGTGTATAGCTGTATTCTTTCGCCATAGATCTTGGAATGTATACCTTTGACCATCTTGGTAGCCATTCTCTACGGATATTCAAGTGCCTTCCGATCTCGCCGCAGCCATGGGTTCCAGGTTTGAATTGAGTACTCGGTGTATGGACGAATATATGTGGCTAACGGACGTGGAAACAAAGCCGGCTCAAACGATCCAANAGAGTTTCGTGTCCGAGAGAGTAAGAATAACGACCATTGTGACGTAGTGATAAAACTTCACATTTGGTAACGTTCAATTCCATATCATTGGGGACAGACCACCTGTGGGCTTCGTCAAGGGCGTTCTGGAGATCAAATGAATCTTCTTGTTTTGTTATTGTCCTCCATATTTTGGCATCGTCTGCAAACAGCAGAGTTTGTGGTCTGAGGACGTCTGGAAGATCATTTATAAAAGCAAGGAAAAGACGTGGGCCTTGTACAGATCCCTGTGGAACCCCACGGTTGACATCCATTGGATCAGAAAGTGAATCGGAAACACGAACTGTCATGGTACGTAGTCGAAGAAACTCCTCGATCCAGCCAAGTATGAGTCCACGGATTCCATAGTTATACAGCTTCCGTATCAGTATTTACTCCATCAAAAGCTTTAGAGAAGTCTAGGTAAATAACATCTACTCCTTTGCCTTGATCTACAGCATGAGCCCAATCGTCCCGGACCAAAATCAAGTTAGTTGCACATGAACGATTTTTTCGAAACCCGTGCTGGGCTGGGGATAGTAAGCCGTTTTTCTCCAGATGATCCATTATCGAATCTGCGACAATAGATTCCATGACTTTGGACAACACTGGAAGGAAAGTGACGGGTCGGTAGTTGTCAGATAGTGAATGAATTGAATCAGCTGCTCTTGTCCATTTGTGCAGGCAATGTTAAGTTCAGTTCAGTTCATACTACCAGACACGTTGTTTCGCTCGGTACCCTTTGTTTGTGTTTTTAAGCGCCTATTATGAAAAAAAGGACCGTCAAAAGCTAACAACAGCGCCTGGGTAAAGTTCCAGGATATAGTTGAACTAAATTCACAAAGAAATTGAGCACCACTGTTTATGAGACTCAGTCGTGGTACTCAGTGTTTGTTATTGTCGACTCGAGTGATCAACTCTCAAACTAAGGAAGCCTAAAGCGTCCTCTATTTTTCCAACCTCCCCCTGGCCAGTGTTTTCATGCCGCCGTTGACCTCGGTGAAAATCGCATGTCGAGAAAACTTGTCTGGTAACATGCGTAATATCAACCATCTT